ATGTACACATCTAATGCAACCCCTATCAAAATACCAACAGCAATTTTCACAGAACTAAAACAAACAATCCTAAAATTTGTATGGAACCACAAAAGACCCCACCCCAATAGTCAAAGCAATCTTGTAAAAGCAAAGCAAAGCTGGAGGCATCACAACTCCAGACTTCATGTTATATTACTAAGCTGTAATAATCAAAACAGATGGTACTGGTACAAAAATAGACACAGAGATGGATAGAACAGAATAGAAAATCCAGAAATAAGCCCACAATTATATGGTCAATTAATCTTCAACAAAGCAGGAAAGAATATCCAGTGGTGAATAGGATAGTCTCTTCAACAAATGGTGTTGGGAAAACTGGACAAAAACATGCAAAAGAATGAAACTCGACCACTTTATTACACCACAGGCAAAATTAACTTCAAGTTTGATTAAAGACCTAAATTTGAGACAAGAAATCATAAATATCCCAGAGGAGAACGCAGGCAGTAACTTCTTTGACATCAGCCATAGCAACTTCTTTCTAGATAGGTTTCCCGAGGCAAGGGAAACAAAAGCAAAAAGAAACTACTGGGACTTTATCAAAATAAAACGCTTCCGCACAGCAAAGGAAACAGTCAACAAAACTGAAAGACAATCTATGGAATGGGAGAAGATATTTGCAAATGACTCATCCGATAAAGGTTTAGTATCCAGAACATATAAAGAACTTATAAAACTCAACTCCCCCAAAAAATCCAATTAAAAATGGGCAGAAGACATGAATAGATATTTCTCCAAAGACATACAGATGACCAACAGACACATGAAAAGATGCTCATCATCACTCATCATCCAGAAAATGCAAATCAATCTACCTACTGTGAGATATCCCCTCACAGCTGTCAGAATGGCTAAAATCAACAACACAAGAAACAACAGATGCTGATGAGGATGTGAAGAAAGGAGAACCCTCTTGCATCATTGGAGAGAATGCAAACTGCTGCAGCCACTGTGGAAAACATACCAAAGTTCCTCAGAAAGTTAAAAATAGAACAGCCCTACAACCCAGCAATCACACTACTGGGTATTTACCCAAAGAATAGAGAAAACACTAATTCCAAAGGATACATGCACCCGTATGTTTATAGCAGCACTATCTACAATAGTCAAGATATGGAAGCAGCCCAAGTGTCCACCAAATGATCAATGAATAAAGATGTGGTGTAGATACACAACGGAATATTATTCTGCCATAAAAAAGAATGAAATCTTGCCATTTGCAATGACATGGATGGAGCTAGAGAGTACTATGCTAAGCAGAATAAGCCAGAGAAAGACAAATACCATATGATTTTACTCATATGTGGAATTTAAGAAAAAAAAAAAGCAAAGGGAAAAAATAAGAAAGAGAGACAAATCAAGAAACAGACTCTTAACTACAGAGAACTGATGGTTACCAGAGGGAAGTGGGGGGGGGCAGAGGGGTGGGTGAAAAGGGGGGTGGGGATTAAGGAGGCCACATGTGATGAGCACTGGGTGAGGTGTGGAAGTGCTGAATCATTATATTGTATACCTGAAACTAATATAACACTGTGTGTTAACTGGAATCCAAAAAAAAAAACAAAACTAATTGACAGCTTTAAAAAAAGAAAGAAACCATAAGCCTCCCTCCCCACGATTTCTGTCAATCACTGGTACTAACGTGCTCACAGGCTCCTCGGTTCACACATGTAACCTCCGCCCCTTTCTGTGTCACCTAGGTAACAAAGCTCAATTCCGCCCTAGTTTTTACAAGAAACCACCATGGGCATTGAGCCTTATACATATTATTATAAATTTACTGAATATTTAGGAGGTTGGAGGGACCACATGATTCATTGAGTCACCTTCCACCCTTTCACTGGTTCTCCTATGCTCCCAACCTTTCTCATCGCCTGGGTCCCTCTTAATAGCCCACAGCTCTCTCTCCTTGGACATGAACAACAGTGTCCCCATGTCCAGGATGCTGCCCACCTCCACTGCTACCCCAAGCTGGCTGAGAAGGAATTTTCACAAGGTCAGTCCTATGGGTATTATCTTAAGGAGAAATTTTCATAAGGGATACTAATGGGGGGGGCCTTCACTTTATCCCCCTTGTTTGAGTGACCGTCCCCTGCACTGCCTGCTTATGATAGCTCACATTGATTGAGTACACACGAAAGATCTCTGTGCTGCTAAGTAACACATTAAAATTCCCAACCACTCATAACCCAGAGCAGCTATAAGATGTGGCCAAGTCACTCAGCTAAAAGGCATCAGGGCTGGGATTTGAACCCAGGGTGCTTCAAGTGGGAGCCCCATTACCTTTAGCTATACTACGGACACAGGCCAAAATGGCAGTGCCCACCGAGACACCATCCCAGTACTTGGACACCAGGACAGCCTTGAGCTAAACCACAGAGGACACTTCTTGTTGGTGAGAATCATTTCCAAGCCCTAAAGGATCACTGGGAACAGAACACTGGCTTCCCCCATCTTTCTCCTGTTTCCCATACCTGGACTATGTAGGACATCCATGGCTGTGGGGAGACCTGATGATGCTTGGCAGCTCCAGCACCCCGTTTGTGCACACATCACTGGGCTGGATGTCGCCATGCTGCTGCTGCCACCTCCGGTCTCATGAATCCTCCCATCCTCAAGTGGGAGGATGGCTCCGATTTAGGATTAGAAGAACCCGGCACCCTTCCGCAGCCCTCTGGGCATCATGGGAGAGTGACCTGGAAAATCGAATGCAGAGAAGTGTCCCGAAATATAGGAGTCTTGTTTGAGGCACAGTAGAACCTATTAGCTTGAGAAATTGGTCTGGAAATCTTATTAAAAGAGACAAATCATTCCGCCTTCTCTCTGGACTGAAAATATTGGGGGTAATAGACTTTTTCCCTGATGCCTGGGACCCATGTACCTCATGTCAGAATCACAGCTAACCTCTGGCAAGGCTCAATTCAATGCAGGTGATGAAGGCTATTATTTTTTTTAATGGGCAGTTCGGATTAATTCTGATTTCTTTGGCTAGCCACCGCCTTACCTCTACCAGTCCTCATTACTGTGAAGGTTGCAAGCCAGAAGAGCCAATGGCAAAGAGAAATCAAGTTCAGATTGTGGGTTTGTCATTATTGCACAGCTCAGCAGATAACTGTCCAGCACCGCCACCATGCACACACACCCAGGTCCTTTCTCAACGTGCCCAATTAACCCATGATGGACACAGGAAAGCAAGGCACCATTGCATTATGAAACCTAGCCTTGCTCATCTTTGCTATTTAAGAGGAATGATAAGAAGAATCTTTCAAATGTATGTGTTAGCTATTTATCATTATGTTGGTTATGTTTGCTGGACACTGATATGTTCCAGAATAATGTGACTCATTGGAATTTAGTGGATGCTTATTCCATGCCTGGCACTGTGCAAAAGGCTTTCTTCACATGTGTCATCTCCTTACATGTCCTTGGAACAACCCTGTAGGTCAAGGGTTGGCAAACTTGCTCTGTAAAGGATCAGAAATATTTTAGGTTTTGCAGGCTACTTTGGGTTATGCAAGGTATTCTCAATTACTCAAATCTGCCGTTGTAGTTTGAAAGCAACCACAGACAACACATAAATGAGTAAGTATGGCTATATTTCAATAAAACTATATTTACAGAATAAGCCAACTGGCCAGGCTTAGCCTGTAAGCCGTCATGCGAACATGTTATTCCCAAGCTGGAATTTGGGCTCTTTTCTCTCTCCTATATCCTCCTTCTTCCTCCCTGCTCTTCCATTCTGGTTCTAGTTCTGGAGGAAAGATAGAATAAAAAGTTGTTTTTGCATGTGACTGGCCAGGGACAGTTGGCTGATCTCAACCAGAGGGAGAAGGATCATTTTCATGAAGATCCTGCATCCACGGTGGCCATGGGGGGGGGCATCAGATATCCCTGGGAAATCCCCAGATTTCTCAACTCTGGGGCTATAGACCTGGACGGGGTCTATCTCCACGCCCCTTCAAAACTGGGGATTTGAGGAAGCCTGCTTTGCCCCTCTCTGAGCCATAACCCCTGCCACCTACCTGAATATTCTTTCATCAACAGATAGAGGGGAATAAATTACTGTCTCACCTTGATGGTGCTATAAATGTAGGGAGCAATTTAGGATCTTAAGCCAGAGTTTCTCAATCTCTGCTCTATTGGTATCATGTAGGATGGTTAGCAGCATCCTGGCCTCTACATGCTAGATGCCCATAGCAACCCCCAAGTGTGACCTTCCAAAATGTCTCCCGACATTGCCAAATGTCCCCCAGCTGACAAAACCACCTCTGGCTGAAAACCACTATCTTTGGTCAAAGGGCAACCACAGCCTTTTGCCCTCAGCTGTAGGTTCTAACTCCCAATTCCAGAAAAATAGGAAAGATCACAGGCAGGATTTCTCAGCACCATGTCACATGATCTCTGGTGCAAGGTAAGCATAACTGTCCCCATCTTACGTAGGAGAAAACAGGCCTGGGTCACAGCAAGTGAGCAGCAGAGCCAGGATGGGGACCCAAGCCTGTCGGATGCCAAGGCCTATGTGTTTCTTAAACTAGTGATGATCTGATGATGAGAGGGACACTGGGAAGGTTTTTCCGGAATGGGGAAGTTTGTCTGGGTTCGCATTGAACTAGAGACTGTACTTGCTCTTCCTAATCCTGCCAGCATTTCAAGGGAGGTATTATTCCCCCTTGCTTTACAGAGGAGGAAACTGAGGCCCAACAACCCTAACAAATGGTTTGAAATCAACATAGCAAAGATTTTTAAGTCCACGGTTTCTGTGTTCAGAGCTTTGACTTTTCAACAACAAACATGGGTGGCTGCTCCCCAACGGGGAAGTGGGGTCAAGTTTCTCACCTACTACTCTACCTTCCTAGCCAGCATGTTCTGCAGGCAGTAGGAAAGGGCTTGGTGATAAATGAGTCCAACGCCCGCCACCCCTCCCTCGGACTCTCTCTCTGACCTCTCCCTTGCCCCAGCTCTGTATGCAGTACTGGCCTGAGAAGACTGCAGGGTGCTACGGGCCCATCCAGGTGGAGTTCGTGTCTGCAGACATCGACGAGGACATCATCCACAGAATATTCCGCATCTGTAACATGGCCCGGGTAAGCATCCAGCCTGCCTCGGCTTCCTGTGCCGCTCCTCCCCAGCCCAGACAGAGGCGGTCCCCAGCCAGCCAGGAGTCTGTGCTGTGCTCTCCTGATCATCCCATCCTTGGGGAAGTGATGCTTCTGCCGATTCTGGCTTCAGACCCAACAATGGCTCCAGCGCTCAGAGACGCACGGGGAAACCTCCAGCCTGCCATCTGTCTCTTTCCTGACACGCTGTCTTATAGTCAGAACTTCTCAGAAATCAGTGCTTCCCACTGTGCTGTGCTGTTTTGGCATGAGGTGACGGGGTCTTTGATTGGATCCAGTAAGCTTTGGGCTAGACCCTGAGAACACCAAGAGGGAAAATAATTAGTTGCTTCCGTAGAAATTCACTGGCCAGGTGGAGGAGAAGTGGGTGGGAGGGAGCAGATGAGTAGTCTATGAAATGGCTAAAGAACAACTTTGGTCTTTACTGGGGGTCCCAGGGTGAACAAAAACTCCATCTCTGCCCTCAGTTCACTGTCCAATGGGAAGGTGAGCTATGTTCTGGCACGTGAACCTTGGGGGGAGAGATGAATTCTCCCCCAGTAGAGTCAGGGAAGGCTTTTCCTAGAGAAAGGGACATTTGAATTGGGTTTTGGAAACCAGTAGTTTTCCAGGAAGAAAGGGGGGTGCAGGGAAGTCATGGCAGGAGAATCCACGTGCACAAAGGTAGAAAGAGGAGTGTGTCCCCATGGCGACACAGCGTTGACCCCATTCGGTCTGTCTCCCACTCCAGTGCTGCAGCCCCAGGGCCTGTGAAGGGCTTGCATCCCTGGCAGAACAGCCCTAACGGCCTCTCTGTTCTCAGCCTCAGGATGGGTATCGTATAGTCCAGCACCTCCAGTACATTGGCTGGCCCGCCTACCGGGACACACCCCCCTCCAAGCGCTCTCTGCTCAAAGTGGTCCGACGGCTGGAGAAGTGGCAGGAGCAGTACGACGGGAGGGAGGGGCGCACCGTGGTCCACTGCCTGTGAGTGCTATGGAGGGTTCTCTGGGGGCGGGTGACTGGTATCTGTCCTGGAGGATGCCACTGACCATGGGCATGCCTGGCCATACCACATCTCAACATCCCTTAAAACCCCAGGGGTGTGTATTCAAGAAATTACAATCTTTCATGGACTGGGGTTGCCCGTCTGTTGCCCTGAACTAACCAAGGTTATGTGACATGTTATTGATGCAAAACCTGGTGGCCTTTCACAAACATCGGGGGCGGGCAGGCTGCACCCCAGCACTCACAGTAGGGAGGTAAGCTCCACTCCCCCACAGGAGGCACGATGTGTCCTGTTAGTCGCAAGAAAGCTAGGACAAAGTGGGTTCCACTGACCAGACCCTCCAATTAGTTCCTAAAGAAGGAAAAGAAGAAAGAGAGGGACAGGTGTTGATTGATGCCAGACATTTTAAGTGAATCTTAAAATTAAAATACCATCTGCGAGGTAGGTGTTATCATGTAGTAAAAAACAGGCACAGACAGGGGAAGGGACCGGGCAGTTAAGAGAGGAGCTTTGATTTAAAGCCACTGGCCTCCAAGCTAATGTGCCATCTGCTAACCCACACTGCCTTTGAGTAAACCAAAGGACCCATCCACCACGTCACCTTGTGGGGTCATCTCTTGCTATGGGCATAGTGGGTACGCAGGGACACGAGGAGCCTGTGGGGCAGATCGATGGCTATGAAGAGCCCTGGGAACACTGTTTCCACAGCTCAGTGGGCTCAGGTGGGCTGTGTTTATACTTCCACTGCTGGGGCATGCTGGAATCTCTACCACCTATCTTAGAATGGGTGTGGCTGGGGCACAGGGGTTCGCAAATAGACCTTGATGCCCAGTGGAGGTCAGGACCCTTAGGGGACTGGGGCTGACAAGCTGTCATCAAGAAAGTCACTTAATTGAGTGAGCCTCAGTGTCCTCATCCATCCAGTGGGTATGTTGAATTAGGTCATCTTAAGACCCTATCGTGCTTTGGTAGGAAATAGAGAACAAATACAGTTCATCTACCAACATACAGACCCACAATATCATGGTAGCAAATATGCACCTGTTGTAAAAGTGATTACTTCCGAGAACCTGTGTCAGACCCTGCCAGAGGAGTATAAAATGACCTCAGAGAAGGATCCTGCAAAGATCTCGGACCCAGAACACATGTGCAGCCCCAGCCATAACAGCCGTGTGTGCAACATCTGACTGACAACCGTCGCTTTGCTGCCTACAATGTGGAGGTTGTGGGGAGGTGACTGAGCGGGCCCTACTCTCTCAAAATGTCGTGTCAGAGGACTTGGGAGCAAGCTCTTCCCTTTTCAGAGTAAATATTTCTGGAGCCAGCAGAGGCATTAATAACACCTTACTGACCTCAGAATCGAGTTCAGTCTTTACAAAACCAGCTTATTATTCCCACCTTTCAAACAAGTGGTGCATTCACATGTCAGGAAACCAGACAGGCACGCGCACACACAGCTTAAGGCCACCACCTATCACAATCCTTTCTTCTCCAAGGACGCAAATCACAAACCAGGGACCAGGAAGATGCTGTGAGCTGTGTCACGCTGATGGGCGCTATCAGCCAAACCAAGCTGGTTCTGCCCACATCCCAGAACCTGGCAAATGGTTCTCTGCCAACGAGCCCCTGCCCCCTTCAGGTCCCTCCCGCACACTCAGGTGGCCTCCCCTGTAGCACACAGCCACAACCGTCCCCATCCGGTCTCAGTCCACCAGGCCCTGGGACACCTGTGCCCACTTACCTCTTCCTCTTGCTTCGGGTTCCTGCTGTTCCTCCTTCTGGGTGGGGGGGGGTCCGTTCTTCCTCCTCTGCAGGTGATTGTTTTTTAGCCCAATTTTTGGGAGAAGTACTTTTTTATCCAGGTCCCCCCTCACCAAGGTGACCCACAGTTTGAGCCCAAGTAAAGCACAGGCATGTCCTCTTACCAACGGGGACCATGGCATCCTCGGAGGCCAGACACAAGAGACGCCAAATGCAGGCACTGGCCAGTGAGTGGAGGGCAACTGTCTGTACCCAACACATCTGCTTGTTGGGTGTCCTGTAGATAAAACATCTGGGAAACCAAGCACCTTAGTTTCCATCCAGATGTTCTTTAGACATAGGCCATTACATGCAATCATTAGCTGCTCTTGGCAACACGCCCAGGAGTTCCAAATCAGGCAGATTCCTAAAGGGACTTTCTGTAAATACTTGGAGGGGTGTTTCCACGAACAGGAATTATGGAGCACCGGAAAGGAGAGACAGAGAGGTGACCTGCCAGGAGCCCTGAGCTCTGCTCTCCCAATCGACAGGGTCTTGCTTAAACCAGGGTGCCCAGAGACCTATCATTTCAGGATAGAACATCTCAGACCCACCCAGCCCCACCTCCAAACCTAGGCTGGCTGACCTGAGGCTGTTTCTGTCCTTAGTGGATGGAAAGAACTAGAATGAAAACCACCTGGAACCTTCCACGGTCTTCACTGGATGTGTAGGTGGACCCAGAGCCTCCTTTTGGACAAGGATGCAGGCACCACACGTACAAAGACACCATCACACTATTTGGGTCAGTGTGCCATGGGTGACTTTAACATGCTCATAGAACCAAGGAAACATCGGGCTAATTGAACTCTCAAAGAGCATCTAGTCCAACCCCTCCATTATATGAATAGGAAAAGACTTGCCCAAAGTCAAAGCAGGTTCATGGCACCAGCAGAACTCAAATCACTGAGGCTTTCGCCATAGCCTGACTTTTGCACGTACTGGGCCAGCCACTGCCCACTACTTCTGATGTGGTTTTAGGATCATCAGGTGCCTGGGGGGTACCCAAGCATATTCACTCACCTCTGTCACTCTGTGTCTAGAAATGGGGGCGGCCGCAGTGGGACCTTCTGTGCCATCTGCAGTGTGTGTGAAATGATCCAGCAGCAAAACATCATTGACGTGTTCCACATTGTGAAAACGCTGCGTAACAACAAATCCAACATGGTGGAGACCCTGGTGAGTGTCCCAGGAGGCTTCTCCCATGGTGGGGGACTGACCCTAGTTCCCTGATCTGGAGAAGACAGCCTCAGATAGTAAAAACACCCAACAGCTGGCTGCGTACAGAGTCCTGACGGGCCACAGCCTTGGTACACAGTTATTTCCTGCAAGGCAGCCCAAATACTCATCCTGATACACTAATCCTGATACCACGAATTCCGGCTTAGGGGAAGGGATTCTGGCTTAGGAGAGTGTGCATTGTATTTTCAATTCAGTCCAATCCTTTCTAATTAATGTATGCGACTTGCACAGCGTAAGCACAGGGCTCCGACACCGTGCGGAAAGGGATGGACAGTACGTGGGCGGGCGGAGCCCAGGTCATCAGGCCCACTGCACAAGGAACTTTGCTCAAAGAGTCTTAACCGACTTGAAGCGTGGTCCTACTCAAACTCCAGTCCACAGGCCGGCAGCATCAGCATCACCTAGGCAGGCCCCTGATAGAAATGCAGAATCCCAACCCACTCCAGATACTTACTCAGAGTCTGCATTTTGGAAAGATTCCTGGGCCCTTCATATGCACCTTACAGTCTGAGAGGCACTGGAGTCCAGAACGGTGAAAAGGAAAGGAATGACCCACTGGGCACCTGGGAAGGCGTGGGTGTAAGCAGGCATGGGGCAGAACTTGGGGGGATGTCCAGATACGGATAATTACATGGGTAATTTTGAGTTGACTGTTAGTATGGATGTAGATAAAGTTTCCTCCAAAGTCTGCGTCTCTAACCTAAATGCATTTCCCCTTTCCTTTGCATCTCTCTCTCTTGCCTCCTCTACTCCTTCCCTGCCTGTCCCCCTCTCAGGAACAGTATAAATTTGTATACGAGGCGGCACTAGAATATTTAAGCTCCTTTTAGCCTGATGGGATGGGGAGCCTGCCGGAGCCCAGAGGCTGCTGCAGCCAAGCCCCCTTTTCTGTGAATGGCAGTGACTGGGCTCAGGGGCTAAGAGGCAGCACCCTGCCCAACTCCAAGGAGAAGACTGGTGGTCCCGTGTTCCGTGGTGGGCTCTGCGCCTTCCAAGGGGTCTCCTGTAGCTGTGGGAGATGCTGCTCTGAAAGGCCCAGGCTTCCCTTCCACACCCAACCAGCTGTGGCCACGGGCCCATGCAAAAGTGCGCCCATGGCAAGGCCCTGGATTTTTCCGTTCCCAGACCTCCTGCTTTTGCTCTTTTCAAGTTTGTGAATCTCCTGGCAAGCCGACTGTGTGAGTGTTGGGGAGTGACAGCCTCAGCAGCACCTCCCTGCCCTAGTTGTCCTTGGGAGTGGAGAGGGTGTGGGTTCTACTCCTCCATGCTGTCGTGGAAATGACTGGGCTCTTGGGGGTCCCTGCACTGCTAACCCCTTGTAGTCTCCGTCAGGGATCTCTGGCACTGGACACCTGCCAGTCTGGATCAGTGTGAACCTTGGGATGCTCCCGACACCACAGCAGAGGCCCCCATTGTCACACCTAACCTGCATGGGGCTTGGCCCGATACCATTCTGTACCCCTCCCCTAGCCCAGGCCGTGACCCGTCATTCACTGGCCAGCCCACTGCGTCCATAGCCTTTGATAAAGGTTCTCTCTGCTTTTTTGTAATCAGTGGGACGGGGGAGCATGGAATTTTGCTGCTCTTCCTTGTCTTTGTGAAAAGGAACCATCTCTCTGGGGCGGGGCTCTGGCTGACCTTGTGTCTTTCGGGTGGTGGATAAGATTTGATTATTTTCCAAAGTGCGTATGAAAAGAAACTTTCTTTGGGGGTGTAAAATCTTAGTCTGTTATGCCAAAATAAAAGAGAGAGGGAAGTTTGGATGTGTAACTATAAGACAAATCTCTCGGGCCGCTAATCTTTCCTGGCAATGTCCTTAAAAGATCCCACCCTGGAACGGCACTGCTATTGAACAAGTGAGACGGGCTCATCTGAGGACAGTCCCTTCAGTTTGTGGGGCAGATAGAGTACCAGCTTTGTGCATCATCTTGACTCTCCAAATTTGAACTCCCTCCTAGAGAAACCCCTAGCTGCCATCATGAGAAAGGCCACAGTGGACCCAGGTATGTGGTCAAGGAGATCACAGCAGGGATCTAGGATCTTATCTAAAGAATGGGTAAGACAGTGACAGGGAACCACCATTTGCTAAGCACCTGCTGTAGGCCAGGCTTGGCATGTTCCATATGACATTTCACATGGTCCTAGACCCCCATGAGAGAACTACTAACCTGTGATCATCTCTACTTCATGACTGGGGAAACTGAGGCATCTTCCTCAGTGATGAAATTCTGGGTTCTGAAAAGGCAGACATTGGTGATAAGACTTATTCATACTGTTTTCTTCACCATTCTCAGCAAAGCAGTTATTTTATGGAGGGGAAAATAAGGCTAGAAACTTCCGAGCAGAGAACTCCACAATGGAAATTTAATTCTTTCTTTCTGATGTGAGTTCTTCTGGGAAGCCCAGAATTTCAGATATATTTTTAGTAACTCCTTCCCGGCTCCCCAGGAAAGCTAGTCTCTTCTCATTTCTTCACCAGTGAAAACAGATGCCTGTTCCCTCAGGCTGTGAGGTCGGCCAGCCAGGGACATGCTCTCTACCTTGGTCTCTACTGGGTGCTCAAGCACAGTATCTGGCAGCCTCGGGGTGGCCTGGGACCTAGGAAGCTCCGCTGGGAGGCCGGTCTAGCCCCAGACAGGGGATGAGGAGCACAGAATTCAAGAAGGCACAGTTTTTGCACCCAAGAGCTCACTGTATACTGGGGAGATTGCCCCCCAGTGCCGAGATGGTAGAGCTTACGAGTATTATAGGAGCCTGGGAGCAAGACTCTGCCTGCCTAGGGCTTCCTAGAGGGGATGGCATCCACTCCAGCTGGATCTCAACAGGTAGAAAAAGGAAAGAAAGGAAATCAGTCCCAGGAATCAGGATGTGGAGTGGCAAAGAGGTGTGAAAACTCCTTGGGATGGGGGCCGGCGGGGGGGCACACAGTATGGTGGCAGGTGAGCCCAGGTGGAGCACAGCACTGCCAGAGGGGTGGCAGGAGATGAGCTGGGGTCAGGGAGAAGAGAGCTCACCTGGAGTACAGACTACCCCTGTGGGCAACAGGGGGCCAGCAGAGCTCCCAAGTGATGTGCTCGGCTCAATGTTAGAGAAGACTCTCTCTGGAGCCAGTGGGGCTGCCTCTTCTTTCATCAGACACTGTGAAAACATTCCCTGAAGCGCGTGCTTTTTAATATCACATCTGTTTGTCTGTCTGCTCATTATTTTGTTGCTGGAACAAAATACGCAGTGGATCATAAGACTCAGCTTCTGTGAGACACTCAGGGTCTCTGCTCTACCATGGAGCAAGATGACCAATCCAGGCCTCCAGACCATGAGGCTGGGACATGAAAGGAGCCCACAGAAGCTGTTCCCATTGGCCTGGGCTCTGGAGCTGTCTGGAAGTCCAGGGACACCAGACTTGATCACGGAAGGGCTGTCACTTTGGAGGTTCAAAAGGAAGCATCTCAAAGGGAAGGAAGACAAAGGAGACCCGCCCCCCGCAACAAACTCACTCTTCTTTGATGGGTCTCTTCCCCACTGTGCTTGAGCAGGTCCCCTGGCTCCAGTCCATGACTCCAGCCAGCCCTCACGCTGCCTTCAAGGAGCTGGTAACAAAGCACATCAGCCTTTCCTATGCTCTTCTCTCAGATCATGGCTCATCCCTGCAGAATGGGGGAGGGGAGCTATCCAACACAAAGCCCAAGATTATTCTGCTCCAGAAGGGGTGACAGAGCTGGCAGATAAAAACGACACTGGCTTCTATCATTTCAAACGGTAGGAATCTAAAATGTGACTTCAGGGAGAAGGGAAATTGGAAAAACTCAGGCCACGGTGGGGTACCTGACCCAACAAGGCCAGCGATGATTCCCCCAGCTAAGCCCCCATTTCCTCAAAACCTAGCTGCTCTCCAAAGAGGACAGGGCAGTGAACAGGTCTTGGGCCCGTTTACAAAGGATGAAACTAAGGCTCATGATGGGGATATCTTCCCGAAGATTCCACATGACATGCATATGGCAGGGCTTGGATGAGATAGGGCACCAGTGCCTTGGAATTTGGACTTGATCCAGTCCTTGGGAAATAAGAGCAAATACCACCTCCCCCAAGCTATCTTCCCACACTGCTCCACCTCGAGGATGGGCCACCTTTCACAAGGCAGAGGAAAATGGTATCCATGCTGTCTGAGCCTCCACAGCAGGAGCCAGCCTCTCATCTCTGGGGTGCCAAAGGGAGTGCCCCCACTTAGTACAGAGCCTCATGGTCACCTTCTAGTTAGAACCCTGTTTGGAGGAGATGTGAGGAACTAATGAGAAGCCAGGAACCATCACCAGCTTCATGCATTTGTGGCCTAGATGGCTTCTGGAAGTATCAGCTGTGCCTCCACGAGTGCCCTTTCACCCTTTCCGGGCCTCTGGATGACCACAGCACACCTCCCCTCATGCGAACAGAGGGATCAGATTGTTTTTCAGGCTGGCCCTCTCTTTGTGTGGGGCCTGAGCAATGGCCTGCCAAATGTCAGCCTTCCCATGGAACCAGCAGAACCTGTGTTGGGGACGCTAACCAGTGAGCTTACTGAATTCTTCCAACATCCCTAAGCAGTGTTCATGTTTGTCACCATTTTACAGACGAGGAAACGAAGGCTCAGAGAGGAGAAATCACTTGCCCACAGTTCCCCCAGTTAGTGAACAGGGGAGCCAGGAATTCAATTTCTTCTGACTTCAAAAACCATATTTTTCCACCACTGTGTCTCAGATTTTCCCATGGGTCTACCCATAATTGCAAAGAGTAGAGTGGAACAGAAACCCAGTGGGTCTGGTGAAGCCCAAAGCAGACAAGCTTAAAATTCCTTCACAGTCTCTTGTTTCACTTTAACAATTCATGCAATACTTGCATTCCACTCTAATTTGCCTGATTTAACAGGACTATTTTTTAAATGATGTGCCCTGGTCCTTCCAATGGCTTTGGTCCCCTCAACTCTCTATGACAGAACCTAGGGAATCATATCCCAGTCTGAGAGGCATAGTATCTGACCATACTGCTTCCTCCTGAGACCAATTCCAGACTCAGGCTCAAGACCAGCTCAACTTTCCCTAGACAGATGCTTTGGTGTGGGGGTACCATGACCTCACCATTCATGGGTCAATCTCAACTCAAGTTTCTTCCAGTTGCATGCTGGAAGGAACCCACTGGCAGGCATATCCTGGAATGATGAGGATATGCCCATCTGGCATGGTGAAGGCTGAGCCCATAATACCCTAAACGGAAAGGAGAAGATGTGCACAGCCTTTCTGAGCAGATTCCTGAATGCTGGGGCTTCTAGAAGGTGATGCCCTTTTGCCCAGGTGGAGTCACATGGTTACTAATGTGGGCAAATCTAAGGACATGCTTCACATGAGGGGCTGGGGTCTGGAAGGCTTCTCACTTTACTTCAACCACACATACATACTGGGTTCCTGCAACATGCCAGGCAGGGCACAGGAAGCACAGGTTATTATGGCACAGTTCATCCCCTGGTGAGGCATTGGGGTTGTGGTTGGAAGAGCTTAGTCTTCAGTTCACATCTCAGCTTGGCCATTTCTTAGCTATACAATGTTGGGCCAACCAATTAATGGAAAAGATGTGAAAAAAGGAGCCCCAGCTGGCTAGAAGGCATAGATTTGGAGAGCTTTGGGCAGGAAAATAGGAAGGCAAGGCCAAGGAGTTGGGACCCAACAGAAATACTCAAGGATGCACATGGACTACAGAGCAAAGTAGTCGCTTCTGTTGCCCAGAAGGACAGGGGATGGGGAGGGCTGGCCAGGACCACTGGAAGCAAGGATGTCGCTTTAGAACAAGTTTCAGTGTCCTGGAG